GGCTGGCCACTTGGGAAGAATATAAGAGCATGCTATGTTGTAGCCTGTGAAATAAAGGTTTTTCTGTAAGCCCCCTCATCACTTAAACTATTGTCTGTCTACCACTCCTCTCTTGTAGGACTGCAGCGTGTATAAACCTAGCACAGTGAAACTTCCTCAGTACACCTGTTCGTGCTCCTTGCCCAGTCCATAAGCTACATTTGTGGATTAAATGTGCTCATGTAATGGCTGGTTTCTTCTGTGTGAGCCACATGCTCTGTGTATTGCCTGTCCTTGAGGACCGAAGACCTTGTAACAGTACCATCATCTAGAAATGTTAGCTGCAAACTCTACTTGACTCTCTGATAGCCTTTCCCAAAGTGGGCAATGTGCCAATAAAGTGTTAATATGGATGGGTTGATTGACGTGTATCAAACTCTGTGACATTTTCTCTTGAATCCTAGTCATTTATGAAGAAATATTTTGTAACTGAGACAAGTATAGATTGTAGGTCTTCTGGTCCTTGCCTGTTCTCTTTGGTTTCTGCCAGGCAGCATTGGGAGTTCTGTGCTGCCCTCTGTTAGTGCAGTGGCTTAGATGCTTTGCTAGTTTCAGCATTGACTTGTTTGTGAGGTGGGGAGGGAGAAGATTAAGTCAAGATCAGGTTTTTTTTGTTCCTTGCAGAGGTTTAGCTGTTCTTGTCATTAAAATATATGCTATTGACAAATGTGTTTGAGTTGAGTTCTCTCAACTGAGAGAAGAGCATGAGTGCCAAGTGGAATCGATGGACAAAACTGAGGTGTTCTCATTAGCTTTGAGTGCTTGAGATTTGAAAGCTGTGCACATGTACTCTTCAGTGGCTGAAGAGTTGTACAATCACTGAAACACTGGAAACTCGAACAACACTTCTTCATGGATGATCCTTGAAACACAGCTGAGTAGCACTGTGTTTTAATATTTTGTGTAGTGTTGTTGATTGGCTCTGAGGAAAATGAGAGAATAATGTGGAAGTCTGATAAAACATAGCATGTTAAAAAAAAATCTCATTTATTTTAAATAAGTTTCTGCTCTTGTTTTGTAGACTTCTCCTTGCTGGATAGGTGGAAACACCGAGCCATTGACTGGGTTTACATGGAGAGGTGGATGTGAACGGGAAACCACTGGCATTCAGATTTGGAGTGAAGTGTTTGTAATTGATAAACCCAATGGGACAAAGGTAAGTGCTTGACTTAAGTAGATGTATGGATTTTTGCCTGTGGGTTTCATGGAGGAAGTTCAAACATCAGTTGCTTTCCTTTGCACTCACTGTGTAGCATATTTGGAAACCTAATATCAGTGCAAGTATGAATTTTCCTGCTGGGTTGTAAGATTCAGTCTCCAACCATAATCCCATTCTGAGACTGCTTTGTTTTGGGAAGGTCTATGCTGTCCAGGCTGATGGGTGGGTTATCTTGTGGATGTTGTAAAGAAAGCGGTAGTGGCTTATAGATATCATATATGGACAAATGCTGTGATAGGAACAGCTCTGTAACAAACAGGGTTTTTTGAGAGGTGAGAATGTGTTGTAGCTTGTAGCTGTGTTCTAGTGAAATGTCATGCATGGCCATAAGTAGTGGAAACTGCTTCAGTGTCTGGAAGTTGGTCCTTCCATGTAGTTAACAGGTAGTCTGTTAAAAAAAAAAAATCTAGCAGTGGGATGAAAAGCATTAATTCTATTCTAATCAAAGCTAATGCATCTTTTTAAACTTTTCAGTCAGTTTAATGCCAAAGTTTGGTTGTAGGGTGTTTATGTTGAAACAAAGTGTAATATTGTTAATAAATATTTAGTCCACAATACTAGTAGTGTATCTTGAACTATTCATGTTCTCCTGAACCATAAACGTTTATTTATTTACTTCCATACCCTTTGCATTTACAAAGGAAACATCTGATGGCTGATTAATATGGGACACTGATCCTAAATGGATAATGTCTTAGGGGTGTGCAGGGAGTTTTATCAAATTTCATAGCTAACCAAACAGTTCTCTGGCTAAAAAACAGTGAACATGCAAGGATCTGTTTGTGCTCTGGGGAAGAATTGCTCACTTGTTCTTGCTTATCAGTCATCTCTAAGTGAAAGAGAAAGGAATTAGAGTAGATCCCAAAGATGGGAATTGGACAAATTAACTTTTATCATTAAGATCACTTCATTCCTTATATTCCAGGAGACAGTCAGTATCAATTATCTTGTTTTCTTCTGAAAATGATTATGTTAAGATAGATATATTTTTAAAAGTAGCCAACTCACTCTTAGCTCTAATGAACTCTGCTGGATTGTCAGCTGAGAATGATGTTCTTCGAGTAAGAGCTGTCTGTTATTCTGCGCTGTACCCCCACTGGGCTGAGGGAGGCTATTGCTCTGGGAGAGGGTAACTGGTGTAACGAGGCCAAGGATTTAAGGCTGCTGAGATGGCTCTGTAGTTGTTGCTTACTAAGCTGTAGGTGTGTATAGGCATGTGCACAGGGAGCTGGCTGAGGGTAGGTAGAAGGGCAGAGACTCGCTTTACCCGAAATAGCATTTATCCCAATGGCATGGAGTGTGAAAGTGTAACAGTTTGTTTAACTATTGCTGTTCTTTAAAACTCTCTAGGTTGCTGTACTACTCATGGATACCCAAGGTGCCTTTGATAGCCAATCCACTATCAAAGACTGTGCAACGGTTTTTGCTCTGAGCACCATGACGAGCTCTGTCCAGGTGAGAATACCTGTTCTGGCAAATAATGGCAGCTATAGGAACCCTCTAGCCTGAACATAGAATATCTCTCTCTAGCTGTGCTTTGAAAGCTCACCTGCATATCTTCTCTAACTACAATTTAAGCTTTCATACTTAATGTCTTATTTTCAGTGTAGTATACTATGGAAGTTTCTCTGTGGAATCAAGGTTACCCAAGGCCAAGCTGAGTTAAATTGTTGAGTGAGGTGGGGAATCCCAAAAAAAGATGTCAAAGTAGCAAATACTTCTGTACACATCTTACAGAATCTGTAAGACTTTAGATACAGTTTGGTGTGAAATGACACTGATCAGCTCAACTTAAAATAGCTGCTACTGTTAAAACTTCTGACAATTCTCTTGTGCTATACTCAAAACTACTCTTAAGATTGTGCCTTAAATGTGCCAAAAGTAGGCAGGTTTTTGAGGGATGACAAGTGACCTTCAGACACGTTACAACATAGAAGTAACAGGAGTATGTAGAACACTACTTCTGCCCTGTGGGGCTGTTTTTCTATTTTTCCTGTTTGGCTTTTTTGGTGGTTTTGTTCCTGTGGTTAGGATAAGTTGTGGGTTATCAATGCATCTTTGAGTTTACTGCTGTTTAGTATTCATGCTAGTGAAACAGTCGCGATCTCCCTGGATAAAATCAGATTTCTCTGGGAAAATTTAAAAGCAGAAAAATGTGGCAAACTAACTACCCAGTCATTTCTGTGTTGGATTGCTGAATCCTAGAGCAGTTGAACTTGAGGATGGCAAATAGGTATGCCCTTCTCAGTCCTCCTGTCTCATGCCTATGTGGTGATTTGAAGCATTCAGCAGTCTTCTCTGTTTTCCTTTAATGGCTTGCTTCCTTGAAAAGAAGCAGTTCTCAGAAGGATTAGGGTAGTCAGCAGTGGTTTTGTCCCTAGCACTTTGTACGAGGTAGTGACTTTTGTTTGAGGTGTGTCCTGTGACACCTTTCTAGTTGCTGACTTTTGGGTAGTTAGGCTCTTCTGGAGGGGGTAAAAATACTCAAGATATCTAAAAGAGACTACTTGAACGTAAGATAATGGCTTTATGTTACACTGTAATTCTTTTACTGTCCCTTGCAGGTATACAACTTGTCCCAGAATATTCAGGAAGATGACCTTCAACATTTGCAGGTAAGAATATGCTGAATTTATATTAAGCTACTTCTGAACTGATAGTCTTGACATTATTAGCAGTAACTTCAAGAACATAACTGTGATTTGGGACCTTCCCGCTACTTCATATAAAACACTGAAGCCGACCTGATGCGAATCCTAGTACTGCCTATAACATTATTTGCATCAGCTCCATGGTGCTGTGATGCTTCTGTTGTGCCAGTGCAGAGGTAAAAGAGTACAGGCTTCTATCTGGCTAAATCTTAACTTTTTAAAATCTGCTCTCTACATGGTGAGTTCTGAAATTCACAAAAGGATAGGAAAGGGAAATGATTTATGGAAGCACTTACTGAGAAAATTCCAATGTTTTTCCTTTTTCCCTAAAATAGGAAAATGGATGGTATTTCATAACCAGTTTCAAAAGAAATATGGGAGCTTGGGTCAGGGCAGAAGGAGTATCTTCCACCTAGAAACCTTCTCTAGTTTTTCAACTGAGAAGCTTTTACAGAGTTTTATTTCCACTTAGAAACAAAAACAGGAAAGAGTTGTCCTCTCTTTACTGTGGGGTTTTGATCCTCTAATGGAACATTGTGGTCAAAGGCCGCTGAATTCTGGGTTCATGTGAATGGTGCAAGAACCTTATCTCCTTAACTTAAAACCTGGAGCTTTAAAGGCTAGCTTGTGTATTAACAAATGCCTGCCTGTGCTCAGGCCGTGATCTTGTCACAGCTTAAAACTGTTTTACGTATCTTCTGATTGAAAGGACTTCTGTCTTGGTCAGTGCTGCAAAAGACTGGCTGCCAATACTGGAAGTAGAACAACACTAACTAAACATAGTCTTGTGATGCTGTTCTCAGTTAACAGAGTTGTATTGCTGGGCCAGTACCTTCCTACCCCCCCAAACCCTCAAAAAAAACCTAACCAAGCACTGCAAGCAAAAAAAGCCTTAGCTCATTGTTTGAAAGGCAGGCTTTCCTCATTACTTTGATCCTTTGATAGCTTCAGAGCAATCTGAATAGGGTGAGCCCTTTCTGTTAAGCTGGAGTGTGAGATTTGAGGGACGGAAGGGAAGGGAAGGGTGATAAATATAAGCACTGGGTAGGGGACACCCGTGCATTTAAAGTTGGGGCAAGGAATCACGGGCTGAAGGAAGGAAATGATGAATATCTATTATTCTGAAGTACTGTTAGTCTCTGGCTGACTTTTCAATGTAGCAGGGAAGTGACTGGGCTAGGGAGTTAGGATCAAAGGAGTCAGTCTCATGTGGGTGGTTGGCCACTTAAAAGCTGCTTTTGCTCTTCATTTATTTGTGCTTTAGTGTTGTAAGTTCTCAGATGCTCTTGTGATCAACACATTGGGAAATGTCCTTTTAGCCATGAAATTTATCTGAGATGGTTCCAGGAGTTAGTTTTAATGCAGCGGAACAGTTGCCTGGTACTAGATGATACTGGTGTGCTTCCTTCATCTTGACCTCCAAGACTGGTAAGGGGGTTAACACCTGACAGCATTGACCTCTGCTGAAACTGCCAGCACAGTCCATAATTTGTGTTCCCGTGGGTTGCCTGGCCCACTCAGTCCAGTGAAGAATGCTGCTGCTGGTACTAAAGATGGTGAAAGCAATGAGAGGAAGCTAGCTGACTCTTGCCTTTATACTGGAAGGAAAGAACAATTAAGGTCATGGGCTGCAGTAGAGATCTGGGAAGCTGCTGAACTTGGCTTGTACTTAAATGTCTGATACATTAGCACTAGCCAAGTTCCTTGAGATTTCTGGGAATGATTCTTTTGTGGGAACTGAGGGGCAAATGTTAGGCTTATCTCCTTAGCCTAGGAAACAAGTGTTGGAAACTGGCTTGCTGAGAGACACAGCCAGATTTCCTCTGAGAATAGCCTCCAGGCCACCCACTTAGAACTGTCTGTGCACCGCAGCTCTGGAATGGCACTGTCAAACCACTGGAAATCGTGTCTTCTTCCTGAATTTTACTGAGGATTGGTGTACTTGTTCTTGAGGTGTATTGGCCGTTCTCAACCCATAACAGGATTTGAGATCAAATACTTTATTTTCTAGTGACATAATAGGATATTTTACAATAGAATGTGTTTGACATGTGGCACTCTTACACTCTTGTTTTTATCAGTTGTTTACAGAATATGGAAGACTAGCTATGGAAGAAATTTACCAAAAGCCGTTTCAGGTAACTGTTTATGTTAAATGGATCTTAAGTAATTGAATGTGTAGAAAATGAACTCAGAATGAAGAGAAATTAGTTGGATTGAAGCTAGTCTGTTCTTTAGAAGACTAATTTTCATTCCCTGTCACCATGTTTATTGTCAAAGACACAATGGAAAAATGCTGAAGAGGGTCACATTTTGGGCAAGTATAGCTTTGTGCCTGAGTTATAAGGCATGAAATGAATGAAGGTGTCAAGCGATGTGCAGATGTTAAGGGGAAAACTTTTGTGCTGCCTTCTTACTCATTACTCTTTGAGGTATGGTTGGTCTTTGCTGGTGGTATATCTTGTTCTGAGTAAAGGTCCCGTGGCCTTTAAGAAGTGGCACTGAGGAGGGCCATGTTGCATTTAATTTACTTGAAGCATTAACTGGCTTCAACATTAAAAGTCTCAAAACTCCTAGCATCTCCTGCCTGTTTGCTGGGCCAGACAAGGCTTTGAGGCTTCTTCTATTTAGTGGAGACAAAGACTGGTATCTCTTCCATCTTGAAGTATCCTCAGCCTGTAAAGGGTACTAGTCAACTGCTGTTAGCGGTGAGTTTTAAGACTCTTGTGTCTCTACAATATTCAGCCTGCAAGTGTGAGTTTCCCGTGTTCTTGTGATTGGCCCAGGCAAGATGCATTGTCTGTTACAAGAGTAATGTCGAGGTTTGTTTTTTATCTTCTGCTGATGGGAGAAAGGACAATGTAATCCCTGTGGGATAGAAAAAGGCAAACCCGTGGGACAGGGAAGCTATCTTTTTGAGACACTTGAGTACTTCCTTTCAGATAAGGAGATGCAGATAGGGAGACCAGTCAGTGTCACTTCTCTGCCCAGCAAGATCATGGAGCAGATCCTTCTGGAAACTATGCTAAGGCACATGGAAAATAAAAAGGTGATTGGTGGCAGCCAATATGGCTTCACCAAGGGCAAATCGTGCCTGACAAATTTAGTGGCCTTCTACAATGGGGCTACAGCATTGGTGGATAAGGGAAGAGCAACTGACATCTACCTGGACTTGTGCAGAACATTCAACACTGTCTCACATGACAGCCTTGTCTCTAAGTTGGAGGGACATGGATTTGACAGTTGGACCACTCGCTGGATAGGGAATTGGCTAGACGGCCGCACTCAAAGAGTTGTGGTCAATGGCTCAATGTCCAAGTGGAGACTGGTGACAAGTGGCATTCCTCACGGGTCGGTACTGGGACCAGTGTTGTTTAACATCTTTGTTGGAGACATGGACAGTGGGATGGAGTGCACCCTCAGCAAGTTTGCCGATGGCACCAAGCTGTGTGGTGTGGTGGACATGCTGGAGGGAAGGGATGGCATCCAGAGGGACCTGGACAGGCTGGAGAGGTGGGACCGTGCCAACCTCATGGAGTTCAGCAAGGCCAAGGGCAAGGTCCTGCATGTGGGTCGAGGCAATCCCAAGCACAAATACAGGCTGGGTGGAGAATGGATTGAGAGCAGCTCTGAGGAGAAGGACTTGGGGGTGCTGGTATAGGAGAAGCTGAACATGAGACAGCAGTGTGTGCTTGCAGCCCAGAAACCAACCGTGTCCTGGGCTGCATCAAAAGAAGTGTGACCAGCAGGTCCAGAGAGATGATTCTCCCCCTTTACTTCATCTGGAGTACTGTGTCCAGCTGTGGAGTCCTCAGCACAGGAGCGACATGGACCTGTTGGAGTGAGTCCGGAAGAGGCCACGAAGATGATCAGAGGGCTGGAGCACCTCCCCTATAAGCACAGGCTGAGAGAGGTGGGGGTGTTCAGCCTGGAGAAGAGAAGGTAGCAGCCTTCCAGTGCTGAAAGGGGGCTACAGGAGAGATGGGGAGGGACTCCTTATCAGGGAGTGTAGTGAGAGGACAAGGGGTAATGGCTTTAAGCTGTAAGAGGGTAAATTTCAATTAGATACCAGGAAGAATTTTTTTCCTGTGCGGGGGGTGAGGCAGTGGCCCAGGCTGCTCAGAGAACCTGTGGATGCTCCATCCCTGGAGGGGGTCAAGGCCAGGCTGGGATGAGGCTTTGAGCAACCATGGCTAGTGGGAGGTGTCCCTGCCCATGGCAGGACGGTGGAACTGGGTGGTCTTTATTGTCCCTTCCAACCCAAACCGTTTTGTCTGTCATTCTATGATTTGTGTGTTTCGTGTGAGGGTTTGGTTGTGGTTTGGTTTTTTTTTTTTTTTTACAAGCAAACACTTGCACCACAAAACTACAAGGCTACTCCATTTAGAGCAGCCAAACTTAGATTTTTTTTTTTTTTTTTAAATTGGAAATAATCACGTGATAGTTTTTGACCTTAGGAATGATGCAAGCCATTCACTGCTGTTTTTCCTGTTACAGACACTAATGTTCTTAATTAGAGATTGGAGTTATCCTTATGAACATGCGTATGGCTTGGAAGGAGGAAGAAAGTTCCTAGAGAAAAGATTGCAGGTAAGTTATATCCAGTAGTCCTAGCGTGGTGTTCTTCATGTGACAACCTACCGTCAAGATAATGATGGACAATGAGCTAACTCTTCGTGTTAATAAAATACATTTTTAATATTCCTACTTGTGTGTCGAGTTCTGGGGTTTAGAACTTGACATTTTTACGTTCAGAAATGAATGCATAAAGACAGTACTGCAAAAGAATTAGCAGTTCTTACTACCCTTTTTTTCTTTAGGTAAAGCAAAACCAACATGAAGAGCTACAGAATGTAAGGAAGCATATTCACTCCTGTTTCAGTAATCTTGGCTGTTTCCTGTTGCCCCACCCTGGTCTTAAAGTTGCAACAAATCCAAATTTTGATGGGAGGTTGAATGGTAGGAAGCTTTCCCTTGTGTGTTTCTTGATTCAGATCACTGAGTTTATTTTCTTTTGTGATGGAAGTTAAACACTGAAATGGTTCACTATTGAAATGCTTGATTGGAAGTAAACTCGGGGTTAAAAGGTGAAGCTATGGAATCTAGAAATGCGCGTTGTGTGTTCTTTTCAGTGGTTTAAAGCTAGAGAAGTTAAGCAGGCAGAGGGAAGGGGTATCTTCATATCTAGGTGTTGATTGTAACCTGATAACTTGAGACGTACTTAAAGGTCATTACATAAAGATTCTGCAGAAAAATAAGGATTCCAGAGGGGAGAAGTCACAAAATTAAAGCCTGCTTTCTTAAAATTGAAAGGCTTTTCTCTAAGAACTTGCCAAACCAAAAGTCAGAACTATTTTAAAGTAACAGCTGTAGGGTTCTGCTACTGCAGAATGAGAGGCAGCTAGGATTCCTCCGATTGCTGCTTGTCTCCCATCAGGGGGAACGTATCAGAATGGCAAAGGCTAAAAAAGTGGGTTTGCAAGATGGGATACTGACCACTTCTGTGTGGAGGGCACAGACCTGTTGGATTATTCTGTATGATGCTGGTGTAATTGGGGAAATGCACTTTAAGTATTACAAGGACTATGGAACCCTGTTCTTTCAGTCTGAATTTAAGATTAAAGAGTAGGTAGAACTTACTAAAGCTATACTGTGTATTTAAGCCTTTAAATATCTTAAAAATGCAGTCAAGAATTGTGATGCTATGTATTTTTGAAGGGTCACGCATTATCGGTGTTCCTCTAGGAAATGTAAGCTTGGAAAAAAAAAAAAAACAACTACAAACCCCAAACCTAACCACTTTTTTTTTTTTTTTTCTCAATTTGATTGAATTTTACTAGATATAGATGAGGATTTTAAGAAAGAACTGCGGAATTTGGTGCCGTTACTACTTGCCCCTGAAAACTTGGTAGAAAAAGAGATTAGTGGATCCAAGGTGACCTGTAGAGATCTTGTAGAATACTTCAAGGTAGGCAAACTCATACTAATTATTTCTGTTAATGGCTTAAAAGAAAGTATATAATCTCTGGGAACAACATGCCCTAAAAAGATATCTAGGCTGACACTTGATGATCAGCTCACTTTTGTTTTCATTTCATTACTCTGACTTTCCAGAACTGGCACACAACTTCCTAACAGTATAGCTCTCATTAGAAAATTTGTGGTTTTTTTTTTTTTTTTTTTTTTTTTTTTTTTTTTTTTTTTTTTTAAGCAAATAGAATTTTTTTCCTACTTTGAAGTCCTAGTTTGTCCGGGCATGTTGCCTTTTTTCTTTTTGAAAAAGAGGGATGTAGATTATACAGATAGAAAACCAGCTCTTAAACTGCTAGGTATGTATTGAAAATTTCAGATATTCCCCTCTGGATTTTTAATATGCAAGGAAGGTGTTTTTTCTAAACACTTGCATGTGCAGCACCACTATATGCTTTGAAATATTTGTATATGATACTTGCAGCTGTTAAACTCTTGAGCTGTTTTGGTATCATGGTGACACCAGCGGAAATGTGATAACATAATCCCTACATCATCAGGAATTGGTCTGATGTGTGTAACCTTTTTTTGAATTGGAATGACCTGGACAGTTGACTTGGTAGGAGAAAGTGGCACTCATTCCTAAAGACGTAAATTCTACATTACTACCTTTGAGTATGCCATGTTAAAGGTAGAACAGAGTTTGATGTTAAGAAAGAAGCTATGCCAGGGAGGAATCCAAGACCAGAATTCTTAATGCTTGTGGAACGAAGTAATTTTTTATAAAGGAGAGACATGATACAGGAGGCAGAAATCGTAACTACTCTGAGCATAAAATCAACACTCTGGAGCTCATATGTTCAGTCTCTGGATTTAATTTACATGGTTGCATGCTGCTTTTTGTTTTGCCGCCTTCTCTAAGTAACACCTGATCCTGTACAGTGTAGGGAGTGCTCATTCACCAGCAGTGTAGAAAGGTCGGCACCCTAAAAGCTGAGTGTAAAACCTCCCCTATTGGAAAGATGCCTGATTGATGTTCTGCATCCAGTCCCGAGGCAGTCACGCAGGGTGCTGTGGAAACACTGTGGTTATGTAACTAAAGAGGACTGCTCCCTTGGGACTGTGCATCTGAAGCTGAGATTGTGAAATCCGAGTTGAAAACTGGAGGGCTTTTACTTGGAGGAAATAGCTACAGAAGCAAGGAGGGTGTTGAGGGAACAGAGTGCTGTATAACTCTATACATTTTTGTAGGTTGTCCTACAACCTAGAGCATTAGGTATATAGGGACCCTTATCAGGGTCAGAGGCTTGTACACGAGCTGGGTGGGGAGAGCAGTAGTAGCATGAAGAATAACTGCCCAGCCTCCCAGGGGCTGAGAGTGGCCCTGTTGGTCTAACTTGTACAGCTCAACTGAAGTGCTGAAATGGCTTCTGCTGCCTGCTATGCCCCTCCACCAAGCTGTCCCAAAGAGCTGTGCCATGGGCCATCTTGTGGGCTGGAGAAGAAGACATGAAGGACGTGGTCTCTTCCAGCCTTCTGAAACCCTGGTGAAAGCAAAGACACCTGAGGATTGGTGGAGTGGGGAACAAGAGTAATAGGCTGCCTGCTTGGCTTCCAGAAGTATTTGGGCAGCTCAGCCCTGTCTGCATTAGTGCTTTGATCTGTTTTTTTTCCTCCAACACTTCAAGGGAACAAGGCATATGGGGAAATGTAAATACTGGTTCTCCCAGCACTGGAGTGTGTTTGGACAGACCTCTTTCCAGAAAGGCTGTGTGAGATAATCATCATCACTCTTTGGATAGAGATTCCCTGCCTAGCAAAGACCTTCTCATGTCTTTAAGGGAGCAGAACCTGCTGTCAAGCCTGGCACTTCTTGAGATAGTGGCTGTGTCTCCTCAAGGTGCTCTGCTACCCTGCTAGGCCCCAGCCTCAAATGCGCGGGAAAGGAAAGGGATTAAAGCACTAGGGGTAACTCTGAGAATGCCAGGCTATATAATGAAACTTGGCTAATTGAATATTTAGAAATATTCTGTGAGCTCTATCTTTATATCATCCCGCTTTTCCCCTTCTCCTCAATCATAAATGTTTAGGAAAAATAAACCTTTCTTTCTTTCTTTCTCCCATTTAGGCTTATATTAAAATCTATCAAGGAGAGGAGCTACCTCATCCAAAATCTATGCTGCAGGTATTTGATTTTTCTTTCAAATAATCTGATAGATGATGTGTACTTTGAAAGTTCTTTGCAGTTGAAGATCATGACTGCTGCCGGGTCTGAAGCTCCCACACCCAGAGCTATAGTTGTTGAAGGAGCTGTGTACTTTGAAAGCCATCTGAACTGTGTAGCCTGGGTACCTGTCTGTGTCTTCCCTCAGTTTCCATCTACCATATGGAGCAGGGGTATATCCGGTTGGTGGAGGTTTTTTAGCTGCTCTGATTTCTAAGCATGTGTTTCCTGCAACTTGCTATTCTGTCAGTATCTTTCAGAGTGCGTTCAGAGTGTTTTTAGCATCAGGTGCAGCAGATAAAATGGAGAAGGCTTAGAGTAATGCACCTATCACCACTGTCTTGCAGGGTTGGGCTGCTCTAGGTGGGTTTGTTAGATTGGATAACTGCATTGATGTTTCTTTTCTGGGTTGATCCAAAGAGGATGTAATCAGCTTTAAAGTGATCCGAACACAAACTGATCGTATAAAGCTGTGTGTTGAACCCTTGAATTGTTTGGGATGAAGAGCTTGCACCAAAGTGTGGGCTTTAGGGTCAGTTTTAACCATTTTGTGGTTGTAAGACTTGTTTGTGTTTTGCCTTTTTTTTTTTTTTAAGCTTCCTGTGTTACTTCGTTAAGACATGACCGTTGTGGGTGTTTTCTGGTTTTTCAAGGGATCAATTCTTCAGACTTTTGCAAAAAGCTCATCACAGTGAAACAAAGGCTGCTATCATTTCCTCTACTTAGCGTGCCATAAATGTGGTTGGGATGTACAGAAGATGACATCTTGCAGCATTAGCTAGAATAACTGTCCCTGACATGACACAGGCTGAAAATAGTCTGAAGTTCTTACAAATGCTGACACTGAAACTGCACATATATAACGCAGAAATGATACCAGCTTGCCTCTTTCCTCACAGGTAGTGATCTATCAGGATTAACAATTAATAGTTTAGCAGTCCTTATGTGCTAATTAACAATAGAGCATTCAGAAGAGATTGCTCGTGATTAAAAGTCTTTACAGGCACATGGGAGTTTGTCAGCAGCTGTACTAGAAAGCTGAAGAAAATGTTTTCCTAGTCAGTAATCTGTTCTAATGTGTATCGCTAACCTTCACTTGTTTCTGTAGGACATTTTCCTGGCAATCTAAAGCTTTGGAGGTTGTGGGGGTACGTTGGGCAGTGTAACTATCTGGTAATGCTGTGATGATAACGTGGTGCTCAATGTTTTCCAGGCAACAGCTGAGGCGAACAATCTTGCTGCTGTGGCAGGAGCAAAAGACTTGTACAGTAAAGGCATGGAGCAGGTATGGTGACACAACTTTTTCTAGCTGCCCACATTCGAATGCGAGCCTTCGGTTTGAATGTTGTACTTGGTGTTGGTTGTGAGCGTGTTGATAGAGGAAAGTTGCTTAGGGCCAGTACTTGTGTTTTCTGCACTCTGCTCTGAGGTTAGATGTCTGATGCAGCAAACCCAGCATTCTTTTGAGACAGAAATTGCTGGGGAGGTATGAGAATGGGTGTGTTTGTAAGATACCACCTGTTAGTTCCCCCTGCTGCTCTTGACAGACATCTTAAAATCCCGTGATGTGACATGGGCAAACAGGTGAGGAGGCATTTGGTGACCCAGGTTCACACAAGGGTGGAGTTCCAGTATTATAGTCTCATGCCTCTGAATTGTGGTCATTCATTCGCTGAAAAATGCAAGGATTAGAATTATTCTGAAGTTGTTTTTTATTTTTTTTAACTTGAAATACAATAATTATCTTTTCTGAAAAAGCTGTATATGTCATTTCCTATCTGCTTCTTTGAAGATGGTGACTTACACCATTCCAGTCTGAATGGATAGACTTCATACTTCAACATAGTGTTATGCAAGGTTTTTTCATAAGAAATACTGAAAAGTTACATGTCTCCTAAAGCTTAACAGGACTATGCTTATGGTAAAAATCTACAACAGGAAGAGACCAGTAAGTGTAATAACATGCTACAAACACAGCTCCACATTAACTAGGCTCATTCTGGTCTTAATCGCTGAAGTAGCTTTCTGTTTTGAAATTAGAGGAAGACCTAAAGCTAGTGGCAGACTAGCCAGAGCCAGTTGTTAGCAAGCTGTTTTGAGAATGCTCTGCTGTTGTAGAGGACTCCTTCATTTGTTGCCATTTTGGAAAATCTCTTGAGATAGTAAATGGGTTGTTTATAATAAATGCCAAGTCTGCCTTCCGTACCTTGAATCTTTAATGGCTGTTGAGATGCCGTAGTTGTAAGGTTTCCTACTTGGGGCAAGGAATAAACAGGAACAGATGTTCTCTTAAATAGACTTTGTTTCCATAGTAATGTTCCCTAATACTGGATATTTTTATATTTCTGTGGAGATAATACACAAAAATTGCTTAAATTGTTTTTTATCCAGATGTCTCAGATGATGTTTTTAATATGACACAGCTCTGAAATCGCTATTGTTAGGAACAGAAGTGGGAACTCTTGGGATTTAAGACTGGGTTATGTAAAGCTAGTTCTTACTGTAGCTTCTGAGTTCTCCTCATGAACCAAAGCCCTCCCTTTGCTGAGTGTGCATAACCAAAATACTAGTCTCGTAATGACCTGAGGTGTAAGGAACAACAGGTGCAGTCACACGCCGTTAAGAAAACAGGGGCAGTTATTTGTGTGGCGATCTTGATGCATTGGCAGCTCCTACTGTTTAACACTCTTCGGGCAATATGAAAAGAGCATTTGGGAGGATGAGGCATTTTCCAGGGAGTTTTACCAGATGCAGAGGACATCAGTATGGAGAAAAAGCAGAAAGGTGCTTGTTAAACTTGAGAAAGGAGCAGAGTGGAGGTGTCAGGATCTCAGCAGTGAGGTTTGCCTTGAATCTAGCCAGTGAAGCCATGCATTTTGTGAGGCAGAAAGGGGATGCTGTGCTCTGAGAGTGATCTGAGAAAGTGAAAGGCTAAAGATGTCAGCAGCTAGTTCTTGTTAATTCCTATCACCTGATAAGTTCTGGGGAGCCTGCTAGTGGCAGCAATAAGCAGGAATAAACTTGTTGAGTGGGCAAAAATCTGCTGTTTGTCCAAGTTCTGCACTGACAGTCTCCCTGAGATGGGTGACCAGGAGTGAAAAGCTGAGGGGAAGGCTTGTGGCCTTCAGAGTTCTCCTTAACCTTCCTCAAGCCAAGCTTTCTCTGCCTCCTGGTGTTCCTTTATTTCATGTTTTTGTAAAAGAATGTGTGTAGGGTTGGTGTCCTGTCCTTATGGGCTTGCCCAAAGGTAACAGTCAGGTGCTGCAGCTCTGCATGTGATCAGACAGAAAAGGCTCTTGCTGTGCCATGATGCAGAGTAGAGTTAGCTGTTTTGCTCGAGATGGCATTCTAGAGCCAAGAGAGCTGCAGGAGGTAGCCTGATTCTGGCTTGAGAGGAGGGGCAGTGAGGAGCAGGCTTGCTTTATGTACAGCAGAAGATACTCAGGGTGTGATGACCTAATTTCTGATTGCTCTGACAGGTTTGTGGGGGAGACAAGCCTTACATTGCCCCGTCGGACCTTGAGCGGAAGCACCAGGATTTCAGAGAGTCAGCTGTCAGGCACTTCCGCTCCGTGAAGAAGATGGGAGGGGAGGAGTTCTGTCGGCGCTACCAGGAACAGCTTGAAGTGGAAATCGACGAGATCTATGCAAACTTCGTGAAGCACAATGATGGCAAAAACATCTTTTATGCTGCTCGTACCCCTGCCACTCTATTTGCAGTCATGTTTGCCATGTATATAACCTCAGGACTGACTGGGTTCCTTGGTATGAACTCCATAGCTACCCTGTGTAATCTTGTGCTGGGGATGGCTCTTATATCGTTTTGTACTTGGGCATATGTTAAGTACTCTGGGGAATTCAGAGAAGTTGGAACAGCCATCGATCAGATCGCTGAAGCTATATGGGAACAGGTTGGTATCTGTTTTTAATGCAAAATCTTCCTTTCTTGAGCAGATATACTGAACAGTCTCTGTTTGGTGATGTGAGCACAAAGCTGGTCTAGACCTAATGGAGAATGCTAGCGCTGCCAAAGGGAGAATTGTCTCGGAAGTCTGTCTGCTTTCTTCAGTAAGAGATGCTGCACACAAAGGATGTTAAATAAGCTTAGGATATTATCCAAAAAGTGTTACTTAAAGGCCTTGCTAGGTGCTTGGATGGTGAAGAGTGGAGGGACTCTTTAAAAATCTTGTTACTTTTTCAGAGCAAGGAATTCTGCTTTTCAAAGGTGTGTTTAAAGTTATGAACTTGCCATGTGGATGTGGTGGATAAAATATCTTGGGTGATGCAAGAAAGGGGGAAGGCAAACCACTGCTGTCCTCCCTCGCCTCACCTGATGGTGTGACGCTGGAGGGCTGAGTAGACCTTAGGGAGAACTAGCTGGCTGCTGACTTGCAGCAGCTGCTACAAGATGCTGTACTGCAGGTTTCTTCCTTCAGGAAGGCTTGTGTTGTCTGTGACAACTTCAGCTGGTGTAGTTGCTGTTGCAAGAAATACTCGACAGACAGACAAATTCCTGAAAGAAAAAACTATAGAGTACCAAAGCTGGAGGAGAAAGCTTTCTGTACAGAGATATTTTGCTGCCTGAATCCACTTGGCACAGCTGTGCCACTAAGGCCCATGGAGAGAATTCCTGACCAACTCTTACAAGTAGTGTTTGGAGCATTCTGAGTAGCTACGTCCAGTGCCAGCAGAAGGGAAACACTTTTCTGTTGTTACTAGAAATAAAGGATTTGCTGAACTTACCTGGGATGACCATAAAATGGGTCCTACAAGGCACGAGCGAATAACTAACTGGAATCTTCTGTACAGAGGCTTTTCTACATCTGAAAAATGACTGTGTTCAAGGCTCATCACAGGCAGTGGTGCACTAGACCTATCTGAGCAACTAGGTAAGGTTATGAGTAACACTGGAGTGGAAAAAGTGGATTTCTAATAACAGGAGGGAAATGAGCATCAGGGTACTAAATTTGGAGTTACACCCCTAACTAGCAATTAAAATTGAGGTTCCTGTGTATCCCCATAGCTTCTTGCTTTGGAGCTTGAGATTGGAGAGCCGTGCAAGAAAAGCAGAAGGTGTCAGTTCTACATGTAGTACTTGCTGAGTGCAGCTGCTGCTGCTGTAAGATACCTAGAGCATGTAAGGCTTGATTTGACCGCTGACTTTCCCTGCAAGGGGGAGAATTTGGCTTATACTAGCTAGCAGGAGCTTGCCTTTTGTGGGCTAGAAGAAAGTGGTCTCCAAAAGAGCTTACCAGTGATGTTGCTACGGTTGCACATCAAGAATAATGTGCAAAGCACCTACAAGTTCTGTCTGACTCACTCTGATTGTATACCATGTTCTTGCTATTGATTTTTCTGAATCTCTGCCTTTCTTTTCCCTCCTTGCTTCAGAGGAATCCCAGGAAGGTGAGAAGTTACTGGCAATCAGTTTTTTTCTGAACTGGATTGATTTTTTTTTTTTTTTTTTTGCCTGCTGCCTTCTAAGAGCCACTCTTCCTAACAGCTGAATTAATGTTTTAGGTGTTTTCCAAAGTCTTTGAAGTCCTTAGACGCCGAACGATTCGCCGTGCTCTTACATCAGTGCCACGACAGCGACTCTCATCCAACAATAACAAGAAGAAAAACTAGCCAGTATTTTTAACTTTCTTTCTGTATCTGAAGTGTTCACACTTACACATATAGGACAATAAGCTGGACCGTCTGGGCCGGTCTGCATAAATGCTGTAACCATACCAGACTGATGCTGCATATAGGGTATGGAATTGCACATCCATCTTCTAGGAACTGTAAAGTGGTTTGAATTTGGTGACATACAGCTGTATAGGAGGGATATCACTTGTGTCCATAGCATGGGACCGATTTAACCTCATTCCCGTAGGAGCAAAACTCATTTCTCTTTCAGTTCATGCCAGTTTGTGTCAGATTTCACCATTCTTAAGTTTTTTTTCATTATTTCAAATCTCATCTCTTTGTATGTTTTTATATTTTCTTTGTTTACCTCATTTGTTTTGTTTCTTTTGCATGTTTCTCATTCCACAGGTGTTGAAGCCCATGAGTGATAATTTGATGGAGGATCATATGAGGCAGTCTGTAAAAAACTCTATCAAGGCAGGCCTGACCGAGCAGGTGTCTCACCATGCCAGACTAAAGACAGACTGACAGTTCATCTCCTCTTCAACTCTGCCCTCTTATCCTAGACATGCTTGCTGTACCATGAGAACTCGATAATAAAAAAAATAAATAAAAATAAACCAAAGTTTACAATCAACTGTAGAAATAGTTTAGTGTGGCTGGCTTCACAGATTGCTGCCATCACCAGGGAAGAGTGAGGTTGTCAGTGCTCTGCTTTGAAGACAAACCGGTGCAACGGAGAGCGCTGGGGGTGGGAGGGAGGGTGCCTGTTTTACCTGTAGTCCTGGTGACCTCTGTGTGTTTGGGGGCGAGGGAGGGAAGGATCTTCCCCCAGTGTTTGAGTTGATGCTTACAGTGGGAATCTGTCCTCTGCAAGAGGTAATTTCAGGGAAGTGGAATGCTCAAACCCACAGAAGGTGTGCTCTCACCGAATGTACCCAGCTCCACACCATCCCCATGCCACCTCGAATGAGCGCTTCTGTGTATGGAGCCTATCGAGTCGGTGAAGCCGTTAGAGCTGCTACATCACGATGTGTATCTTGCTTTCTTGCCTTTTTTACCAGTGTTACACAAATGCATGTATTGGTTCCTCATGCTGCTGGTGGCAGAACTGACGTGTAAGGGAGGCAGTGGGTCAGAGCAGATGGTGTCTTGCCTTGAACTCGGAGACCGGGTCCTGAGGGAGGTGCATATGGGAACTAAGGTGTCTTTTTCTGCAGTTTAGCCTTCATGTATATAATATTGCCATTAATTCTACTGGGGGAGAAATTCCATCCAAAAATATTGCCTACAGCTGCCAAGCAATGAGTTAGGATTGTCTGTACAGTGTGTTTAGTTTTTATTTTTTAAGAAATCACAGATAGGGCATGTATATGAAATATAAATATATAAATACAATTTTGTATCAAAGTTTTGTAGTTTATGGCAAAACCTGGTTCTGTGGTAGCTAAGTGCAGTCCCTGTAAAGGAATGTTTGTGGCTCATGTAAATGTGTGAATGCATCAACAATTTGAAGTTTTTTGATATATTTGTGATATTTACCTGCCTTGAGCACTGCAATCTCTCACCCCTTGGGAAAATCAGTGGGAATGTTTGTTGTGAACCTCTTGTCTTCTGTTGCATTTTAAAGTTGTCTCCTGTAATTTATTTTCAGTACATGATTAAAATCAGTTGTGTATATATGAAATTAAATTCGTGCTTATTTTTAAAAGATGTTCAAGTATGTATTCTACTACATAAACTATGTCAAATACTTATCCTGACAATTATATCAACAAACCGTCTGGTGTACTTCATAGCTTTCTGTCGAAGCTGATGTTCCTCTCATGCTTGTCTTTGAAAGATGACATCTGTCCAGCTCATGTCCCCTCCCTGGATAGGAAAACTTCCCGGTGTTCTAAAGCATGCTGCTTGACTTGTGGAGTTGCTTCTGTTTCTGCCCTCCAACAATTAATTCTGTCATTCTGAAATCTTGTTACAGGCTTTACTTCTTTTGACTAAATCAGCATTGACTGAGGCACTGTCGGGTCTGGGGAGAGAGGCTGCTCAATAACTGCTGTAGCTTCACCTGGAAAGGACTGTGTGCAATAGCTGGGGTATTTTTGTATTCCTAAATGGTAACAGTTTCCATCAACACTGAGCTTCATCAGTCTTCCCTCTCCTGTGTGAGGGAAATCATCTGTCCGGGACTAATGCAATCGCACTGTGACTTTGGTACCATAAAGACCTGCTGGGGTGTGGTGGTCACCTGCCCTCTGGCTGTGAGGGCTGAGCCCCAGGTGAAGGATGCTTTAGATGAGGTAGGAATGGTGCATTTTACGAGATCTCCTCTCAAACTGTACAGATTAAATACTGTTATTTAAACAATCTAATGCTTTGGTGATGAATCTCTTCTTAGTCAAATGAGTCACATACAGGGCTTGGAGGGCCAAGCTTGCCTTTGCTGCTTGTGTTCTCCAGGAAGGTGAGTCGGGTTTGAGGCCGTGCTGTGCCCTGCAGTGATAGGGAGAGCATAACTCTGCCCAGGATGTGGACAGGGAGGCAGGAAGGCTTTAGCTAGACTCTGCTCTTCTAGTAGAGGACTGAAACAGGGCGTGTGGGGGCAGAGAGTTCCTGAAACACTGTGCCAAGAAGTGGCAGAATGGCAAAAACCCCCCAACTTTGTGGGAGGGATCAAAGGGAGAGGCCAAGGTGATTGCTGGGAGGAGCACATGTGGGAAAGAGATTATTAATGGAGGGGAAAAAAGGGGCTGGTCATGTGGCAACATATTGCTGGTGAATGTTCTTGTCTGGCCATGTGTCTCGTTTTAACTCAATTTCTCGCCCTTTTCCTGGGAGAGCGGACTCCCTTCTATGTGCATGTGTGTGCCCAGAGATCCATGTGCCATCAACTGGAGTGAGACCTGTGAAGTGTCAGCAAACTGGAGACTGGAGTGAATGGCAAGCGAGTGCAGGAACTACCCAGTGAGGTTGTGTGTCAGCATACAACTATCAAGCCAGATTTAGGCAGCAAGCGGGATAACAGGCCTGGGAAACAGGTCCTGAAGCAGCCCTAACTGGACTGGGTACATATAAATTTCTGCGAGAGGCAACCAGGAGGTCAGGCTGGCTGTTGGAGAGCCAGGGGTTCAGCTGAGCCCCATTTGTAGGTGAGTGCCTCCCTCTATGGGAGGCAGCTAGAAGCAAAGGAGGCTTCCCCGGGCCAGTTCCAGGACAGACCAGTGTCTGAAGGGCAGTCAGTGAGGGCATCCACCAGCATGTGTGGGCTGAACCAACAGCTGGAGTGGAGTCACGAGCCATTTCCATGAGCAGGCTGGTGAGCCGGGGTCAGCTACGGAATGAACAGCCTCCTGCCCAGTTACTGAAGGGATCCACAGCTTGTGTATTTCCCACTAGCAGACCTTCATCAGCTGGAGGGGGACAGGCTGAGGGTTTGGTGCTGTTTGTTGAGCTGTACGGGTGGTGTGAGCATGTATGCGTGCATCTACTTGCAATGGCAGCTCAGCCTTGCTGCTGGTTGTACAAGGGGGTGTGAAGCTGCGGCAGCATCACCTCTATCGGGCAATCCCTTACCATTGGTATTCTGCATAAAGTAAGGTTTGGATTTTGTAAGCTTTGCCTCTGTACTGTCAAGATCATGCACAGAGGGGGTACAAGGGAACTTCACTAGTAGAATACATGGGGGCACGAAGGAGGTAAAGGGGCAGAGAAGGTGGCACGGGAAGAGCTACTTGATCTTGCTGTGACTTCAGGAAATGCTGATTAGAATGTATTTTTCCAGCTGGCATCAAGTTAAAGAGGTGCTCACCCTCACAGGCACCTCCTCAAATCCTCGGTGCCTTGGCAGGGGAAATACTCCTCTGGAGCAATGAGCAATTGCACTGATGTAATGTCTGGCTCCAGAAAGGTATAAACAGCAGGAAATTTATTTCCTAGCTATCTTGTAACTCAGTTTTCTTAGAGCAGGGTAGGGCCAAGCCACAGATTTTTCCTGTAGATGGCAGATCCTTAGAGTCAAGTTAAGGAAACTAAAAAGTACATCAGGGAGTGTGGCACAGGGATAATGAAAGGGTGGAGAACAGGAAGCCCTGTTCATGAACCAAGATATACCGAGTATACAATGCTTTACTGATTGTGCCAGCCATGTATGGCAGTATCTCAAAACTCCCTGCCTGGTACTGTCTTGGGTTAAAGTAATTAAGCACAGGTTATGGTAAAACTTCCTTTTTTTTATTGAAAAACATGGGTGGGAGCTAAGGACATTATTTACACAACTCTCAAGTGCAGCTCAACTCAAGACCATACGACCAGCAATATGATAAAAAGGATGTGGATCCAAACCAGAATTACGGAGGCTACCAAATAGTACAACTCCCTGGTAACCATGGACCTTCAGATAAGATCAGCAACTGAAAGGGGAGAAAATGAGAGAACGTAAGTATGCGCCGAGCGTGCCAAGAGCCACAGCTCACCTACAGCAGTAGGTTCCCAGGTTCTTCCCCAGTGGAAGCAAAGATGGGTCAGGGTTGGGAATGAGGCATGTGGCAAAACAAAGCATCTGGCACTTCTCTTTCCGATGCAGTGTACCAGTTCCCAGCTGCGGAAAGGCAGCAGCCTCGCTGGGGCTGGCGGGCACTCACCGTTCATGGGCATCTCATCTATCTGGGTGGAGTAGTACTGCTCAATGTCTCGCAGGATGCGGATGTCATCATTCTTCACAAAGTTGATCGCTACACCTTTTCGGCCGTATCTGCCTGACCGGCCAATTCTGGGGAAGCAGAAGGAAAGGGAGAATGGAGCCACCTTGGGTAAGGGTAATCCAACCACACGCCCCCCATGGAGGCTGAGCTTACCTGTGGATGTAGAGTTCTCTGTTGTTCGGTAAGTCATAGTTAATGATCAGGGACACCTGCGGCACATCCAGGCCTCTAGCCCAAACATCTGTTGAAATAAGGACTCGGCTGCAAAGAGAAGGGGACAGTTACAGCTGTGCCACTGCCCTGAGGGTGTGGGAGAGCTGAGAAGTCACAGTTTGCAGCACAGGGAATCATCCCCTGCCCTTCTGCGCTCCTCCCTGCCCACAGCCCACTGGCAGCATCCGCACTTGCTGCATGGAACTGCTTTCCATCACCAAACTTCACTGAAGACAGCTTTGATCTTTCAGAAAAAATACACCACTTCTAAAAGAGTTTAAAATACAGAGGACAGAGCCCTTGACTTAATAATTTAAAATGTAGCAACTCCCAACTTCTTCAGCAAAATAAACCAGACTAATTCTGTGCCTACAAGAATGAGCATTCCTCCTTGGAAAGTGTCAATCATTTCCCAACCCTGCGACACCACAGATGGCTGGATGGGAACTGAAGCTCTTCCTAACTGGAGCTGAACAAGGCCTCCAGAGAGGAGAGGTTTCTGAGGCCTCTTCCCTTCAGATGCTAGAAGAAATCCTGCCCTGAGGTAGCAATGCCGTACGCAACAGTTTAAGGCATTTACCTTGCACCAGATCTGAACTCTTTCATGATGGACTCCCTCTCCTTCTGTGGCATATCCCCGTGCATGGATGAAACTGTGAAGTTGGCCTCTCTCATCTTCTCCGTGAGCCAGTCTACCTGTGCATACAGCCGAGCAGCCCGGGTTAGCTATTTGCTCAGGACAGCCAAACGTGCTAGGTGTGCCTGAAGAATGTTTGCGGAGGTATTTTCTGGCAAGGACAGACACTTTACCAAGCACTCTGGAGCTAAAGGAAGTAAATAATCCTTACAAAGCATATGATTGCTCCATGAGCAATGAAAGAAAAGGAATTAAGAGCATTTATTCATAAAGTGTAGTTTTGTTTCAGGGGTTATAAGCAATTAGAAGAATAAGCACATCGTTACCTCATCAGTTCTACTTCTCTAAAAAAGCAACTCCTGCCAACTGTAGCAGGTCTGCCTATAGCCAGTTGTTTAAGCTAGGCACATCCCAAGGACAAATGTTTAACCTCTGTTCTTACTCAACTGTTCCCAAGTGGGGAAGCAACCCGGCCTCTTAACTGGCTTTGTCCCAGCACTCTTCTCTGAGTCACCCTTGGAAAGCAACGTGCCCATCTGTCGGCTACTGTACCTTTCTCTTGGTGTTACAGAAGATGACAGCCTGGGTGATTGTGAGCGTGTCGTAGAGATCGCACAAGGTATCGAACTTCCATTCTTCCCTCTCCACAGCCACGAAAAACTGCTTGATTCCTTCAAGGGTCAACTCATCACTGCAGGGGAGAAGAACAGCTATAGCACCCCCAAGTAGGTGAACACATACAATGCAGTTAGAAGGGCAGGGCACCCCTCTGCCCTGCATGCTGTGGGTTCCTGGGTCTATCCACAAGTCCAAGATCTTCTAGAAAGTTCCTGGAGAAGTCTGCTCTAAGAAGGGCCTCGAACATGACCCGTGCGACAGAACCATCACCCCCTCTCTGCTCTAGACAGACAGCTTCAAATAGAAACATTCTGTTCTCATCGTTCTTAAGTGTCTTGACACGAGAGACTGAAGAAAGGTTAGTGACAGAGATCAGGCAAGAGGAAGGCTCCTCCTGTTGGGCTGCCTCCACTTACTCATCCTGACTCCTGCCGAGTTCCAGCACGTGAAGACCTGTGACACCACCAGACATGAGCTACCCCTCCAAAGGCAGTCGGGCTCAGCCAGCTAAAGGCTTTTTTGGCTTGCTATACAACAGCAAATTAATGGAGGAGCACAGGAGCTGGGCAGCTCAGAAAGATGGACTCCCAGAAGAGACTGCTATGCATGGGGAGGATGAGGGGGCTAGGGGGCAGTCAGGCGGAGCAGCAGCAAGCAGAACTGGACTAGAATAAAGTCAGAGAGATGAGCTGGCCTGTGCTGGAAAACGGGACATGAGGATGTCTGCAAACACCTAGGCAAACTGCAACAGCGAGAAGGAATGGGAGACAGCTTCTGCACGTTTAAATCATATAATTCTGTGAGCTGCCCAGGGCTGGACCAACTCAAAGAGCTCCTGTTCTTTCCAAGGAAACTCACTCACCGTTTCACCAAGATGCGAATGGGGTCTGTCATGAATTTGTTGGTCATCTCCAGAATTTCATGAGGCAAAGTGGCGCTGATCAGAACCACCTGTGTCGCTGGAGGCAAGTATCTGTACACATCATAAATCTGCTCCTTAAAACCTGAAAAGCAAATCAAGTAGCACAGAACGGTCAGCACTTCTTTCTCCTGAAGATCTTGCTCTTTCACAATTTGATCTGGAATTCGGTGTTGCGCCTGCGCTATGAGATGAACGTTAAGGAGTGAATTAGTAACTCAAAGACAGTGTCACATATTGCTCATCTTTTCCTAATTGTCCCAAACCCACTACAATGTGGCCGTGGTACACACTAAACTATGAAAGGCAATGCTCAAGAATTTATAACTATTAAAAAGGACACCATAACTAAATTGGACAAGATCTATTCAGTAGTTTAACCTGTTACAGCCCATAATTAATATAATAATCTAATTTTGACAAAACCAATTGTTTTTAGAAATGGAACTGCCACCTGGGACACGCTGGAATCTCAAAGAGCTGAGAAGGAAGCAAAAACGAGACAAAAATATTTTACCTTTATTGAGCATTTCATCTGCTTCATCCAAAACCAGCATTTTGATGGCCCGAGTCCTTAAACTTCGACGACGAATCATATCTGAAAGATTTCACTTTGTAAGACTGTAAAGGCTCTGAATGCAAGCAAACCTACGCTGCTCCTAGCCGCTGTCAGGGCATTTTGGTGGAGGAGGGATAGGCACTTCCCCTGCTGCCAGCAGAGACCGGTGTTGGGTGATGGAAGGCACATCCCCTGCAGCTTAGGGGTATGTCTCTGCCGCCGGGCTAAGGGAGCACTAACTCCAGCGAAGCTCTGAGAGCCTAAGCCATGGCATGCTATTTGCTAACTGCACAGGACGGGTGACACAGTCTCCCACAGAACTGCCACTGGATGGCAGAAATGCAAAATGCTACCCACACTCTTTGTCAACAGACTGGGCAAATTCACATCCTGTTTCAAAGAGCACATGGCTTTGTGTAACCACTCAATACTGTACTAGAAAAGCATTTGCTGTTAGTGTGCTGTTCACAGCCTGTTGGTTTTTTGGTGTTTTTTTTTTTTTTGCTCGTTTTCCCAGTGACAGGTGCTTGTGTAAGAAAGTGCTGTCCATTTCTCAGAGATCCAGAAAATGTGAGCTTGAAGGCTAATGCTACCACTGTGGTAACTGCCATGAACAGTAAATATACAGATCTTCACGCAATGAAACCATAAAGTACCAGCTGCAAGTACGCCTAATTTAACAGAGAGACGGCCAATGCACAGAAAATGTGGACCTAACTAACTTTGGCGTTCTAACAGACCGGGCTCCTATGTCCTCCAAGATTCTTAAGTATTTCCTGGACCTTAATATTCAATAATCTTTGTTGCCATGCCACCATATAAAGAAACACTTCAACAACGAAAAGCAAAATATAAACAGAAAAAATCCACACACTGTCCCTGTTGTCTTCTCTCTAGTCTTTTCCAGCTATTACTACAGGAAATTGTTACCTTGTTATACTTCTCATTAATGTTACATTAATGGCGTCACGGTAAAAGTAATTTTCATGCTATCTCAAATCTAAGTGCACAAAAGTTGGTTCAACTTGGGTCTGAACCTGGAGGTGAGGCAGCCTCCTCTCCCACCTCCTTACCGAACACACGGCCTGGAGTGCCAGCAACAACATGCTGCCCATAATCCAGTTTTCTGATATCTTCGCCAACGTTGGTCCCTCCAATGCAAGCGTGACACTGGACATTCATGTAGTCTCCCAGAGCAAGAAGACCCTGTGTTGATACAAAGCAATGGCTTAATGAACTAAGCTCTCCTAAGTTTGTATTTCTGAAGAGATGCAGGTCTTTTTTAAACAGATCTAAGCACAAGCAGTTAGAGGGATTTTTTTTTTAATGTCTGTTACCTCCTCAACAGCAGACCTTCAAACACTGGGAATTCAGTTCCCTAGGGACCATAGCTGCTTTAAAAGTGCTGTCCATACAAATTCAGTTAGGAAGGTGTAAAACCTCAGACCACTAGCCAACACAGTCACGTAAGCAAGGACAACTATAATGCAGATAAGCAAAACAGCCCTTTATCAAAATTTCTTATTCCTTTCAGGAACAGAAAGAAAAAAAGAGAAGCTGTGCTTTGAGCTCTGCTGAGGAATACCTGAGAATCAGCCCTAGGCCTTGGAGTGCTTTACAGATGGCAATTCAAACGTTCCTACCTTCTGAATCTGTACAGCCAGCTCCCGAGTTGGTGCCAAGATCAACGCCTGGGTCTCACGAACCTGATTAAAACAGGTGATCACAGGGCAGTTAATCGCAGGGCAGGTATCATCCAAGTAAAACAGAGAATACAGATCCTGCAGTACTCTGAAGTGTCACATCTGAAGGATTAGTCAGAATTTTGTGCAAAAATCTAGTGTTTACACCCAGAATACTGCTCTCACAAAGAGCATTTACACAGTAACAGCCTCTTTTTAAGTTATCTTTGACAAGGCAGCACTTGAGCAGTTCTTTGATAGCTCGCTTTTCATTGCAACCTGATTTCTGAAAATGGTAAGAGTGCCAACTTTTCTTGCAAAAGAATAGAAAAAAACTTAAATCACTCCAATTTTGTATGTTCCTTGCATTGCACAAGAAGTCAAAGATAACGTTTTAAAGTGTCATGTTTGAAAAATATTATGAGCACTTTACAGAAATGAAGCATAAAGCTGACCTTTTGATGGAGAACATGCAGCACTTATTTTGATGACCCCAGGCAGTGACAGATTAATAACAATCTAAGCTTTAAGGGGGTACTGGCCCACAGAAAATCATAATTTTATTCAATAGCATCTACACATTCAAGTTATACTTAAAGAACAATTGGATGGATACAGTACCCCTGACTAGAACAAAAGCAAACATTAGTCAGTCAAAAATCTCGGTTTGATCCCGTGCAATGTATGCCAACTGTTCAGACAGGTTGCTGATGCTGTTAGGACTGTCTGAGGACAATTCTGCCTGATGAGAGATTAATTTAGGCCTCTAAGAAGTATGTGAAAGAGGTCAGCTGTTAAGACCAACTGTATAATGACAAGACTTTATCTGAACTTATTTTGCCAAGGTGGGTTTAACAGTTAAATTGTTACAGAGTCTGGTGAAATTCTCAGTCAGACACTTGTGTGATCGTAATTTAAAGATTTCATTGTAAAGCTTCATTATTTACTCTAAAAATTAACGCTTTTATGATGAAGACTCTACTGATCTGGTTAAAAAAACATTTTTAGCATGTGCTATGAAATTACCTGTATATCCAGGCACTGCAGAACAGAGATGGAGAACGTTGCTGTCTTCCCTGTTCCTGACTGTGACCTGAGAAACAGATTTTTGGTGAATACTCTGGAAGACTGGACAAACAATACAGGTGATTTAAATATATTCCACCCTTCGCCACTCCTTCATTGCAAAGAAGTCAATATTGCCAGCAGTGGATCTGAGAAATTTTTGTTACAATCACAGCATGATCTGCAGTGGGGCAGCTTTGAGAACTGTAATACCAGGGATAGAGCACTCTGTTGCAAGGTCCTCAGCTCTGGCACATTTAGTCCTTACAGCATTTTAACTTCCTGCAATCTGTCATGCACTTTTTTTTTCCTTTTAAAGTAAATGGTAGATAAGCCAATACAATTTGGAAGGTGAGCAATTCCCACCAGTGAGCTAGAAAGGATTTTTTTTCAGTGCCACGCGTATCCTTCTTTGTCTCTACAGCTGTAAACAGATTTTCTTCTGCTTACTTCTTTCCCTGAAGAACATGCAGTTGTCTCTATACTTCTCTGGTTTTGCTGGAAAACATTCCCAAGAATCTCAGGGCCCTGTTCCCTGGGAACACACACTATCTTGGCTGAATCTTTATTACAACACCATACCTAAACCTAATCAACTTTGATATTAACAAGTGTTAGGCTCACAAGCTGGGTGCAAGTTGGCCAGTTTCCCCCTGTATGACGTGGTTTCCCCAACTCCGCCTTGCAGAAGCCCAGGAGCAGGCCTGTCAGACCTCGCTTCCAGCTGCAGGCAGCGAGGGTCCCTGAC